AAGCTTTGCTTTAGGAGTAACTTCAACAACTCCCTACAGCCGTGCAGCTTTCTAGTCTCATGCAAGGGCATACTTGAGCTAATCAGCACCTGGTGTAAGAAAACTTGCATTTTCACCAACTTAGAAACCCAATCAAGACCCCAAATCTATGTACATATAGAATACAACAAACTGACAAATTTGGCATGTGTCTTACAAAACAAAATTGGAGGTCTCAACAGAAAAGGGCAAGGATGCCTGAACTATCTGTACAACACCACTTGCACCCCTACTTGATATAATGGAGCACAGTGGAGCAACTGGAGCAGCAAGTGCCTGCAGATCTGATATGGACAAGTACCACATAAATATTCTGTTTAACACCACAACCAGTACAGCCCTGTTGTTACAGTGTGACATCAGAGTTAAAAAAAAAAAAAAAAAAAAAACAGAAAAACCTGCACTTTTAATACACTTTAGTTTTAAAAAGGAAGGAATAGCTGTATTTCAATCTGCAAGTGTGTTTTTATACTGGTCTCCTGTTTGCTTCTAATACTGGTGACATATCCCAGGATCAAATTTCAACACCAACAAAACACAGTCCATATCCTTCTCCCAGCACTGAGAGGTTTGCTCTCATACCCACTAACCCCTTTTCTGGACACCAAACCCTGTAGTTTCATAAGCAACACAAATTTAGTAATAATGGTTAACCAAGAACAAAGCTTTATCATGTTGCTGGTACCAAAAAGGAATTTGCAAATAATCTTTCTGGACACGTGAAGACCTAACAAATCAATGGAATTAAGAGTCTGGGATGAGCCCAGGTAAACATTTATGAGTTGCATGAAATCTCCTTAGTCATGTGTTGCACTGGGGTGGGGACATTCTTTTCAGAGAACTATACCCAAAAAAGCTGAGAGAAAAAAATTCAAATCTCCAGGACAGAAAATAGCTTCTTTCTTGCCTAATACAGATCAGCAGATAACAGTTTTGCAAGCAGAGATAAGAACTAAGCAGAAGGAGGAGGCAGGTGAATCTGAAAGCAAGTTCAGCACAGGCCATTCAGGTTGCATTCTAAACCTGTTTTACCCTGACATTACCCTGACCTATTCCAGGAAAACCACTGGTAATCTCTCCATTTTAATATTCAGTTTCCTCAACTCCTTTTATTCCTTTCACCCTTTAGTAAAGGACTTGAGCTGTCAGACTCCACTGAGAACCACTTTTTCCTGCAATTTTTTTAACTTCTTGGAAGAGGGGAAAGCTCAGACTCCCTGAAATGTCTCCAGTTTGGAAAGGTACTAAAATAGCTGACCAAAGTTTCACCGAGGTGACACATGTAGAGTACATGTATTTAAACAGGTTTATATCATAATTTACTTTTGCCAGTTAAATACCACCTCTTGAATTTTTGCATCTTATTGCACTGATTTTCTAAATACTGGAGAGTCTTGCCAGCTGTTTTAAGTGAAGCAACTTCTCACAATGCAAGAACAATGGCAATTTGATCATTGTATTTAGTGTTAATCCTTTATTTTTCCCTACAAACCCTCCCAACTTTTCCAACTCTTTTCAAATCAAACAACATTATAAGCATCTCCTGTTTTGCAGGGCAGTAAAAGAGCACAAAACAAGTGCTACAGATGTCCATACTCCTAAGGCAAAGGCTACAAGGAGTTTTCTGTCATTCTTAGGCACTTAAAAAACCACAAGTAACTATTTGAATTTAGGACACTCAAAATGCAAATATTTCAAAAAACAAGGTATTTCAAAACCTATTGGAATTCACAGTAGAAATCTTTACAAAAGCTTTTTTTTTTTTCCTTTCCCCAAAGAGATACAGAAAGCAAGTATATGCAAGTATATCATTGTTTATTCTAACAGCTGGAAAGAATAGAAAAGCATCAGCTACTTTGTCTCATTTAATTCACTTATTGTTGTGCAAGACTATCTTAGTAAGAGATGCCTGACACTGAAACTCCCAATTTGTTGAGCCTGAACAATTAAAATCTGCCAGGAGAGGAACTATGCCAGCACCCTTTGTAGCAATACTTGCTCTCAACATTTAAGTCTCGTTTCCAAATAAGTTCAAGAAACAGATTTAAGAAAAGCAATACAAGATTCACTTTCATGGCAAACACACAAATGCACAGTCCTTCCATTTCAACTTAATATTTCACAATCTGCACCAAGCCTAAAGGAAGAAATGCAAGAAGAACCTGTGCAAACTGTAATGGAAAATAAAGCCCAGACACAAGAAAGGAACAAACTCTTCTATTAAATATGCATGACATGCTTCTTTATAAATACAAACACAGTAATAGCATCACCAAGATTTTTCTTTTAAATACAATTCTTCACTGAAGCAAATATTACATTTATGGCTTCACAATCCTGTCCATGATAACAAGTAACAGGTAGCTCAGGCCTCCCTGAAGAACTAAATCAGAAAAGGTGAGCTGCACCAAGTGACCTTCCCAAATCATATTTCCTAATAATTCTCAACATCAGAAGGCAAGCTAGAAATGAACACACACCAAATCAACATTTCTCCAAGAGTCACTTCAATGTGAATTCACATTTCATGTGACTGCCAGTAATATTCCAGTCACCAGCTCAGTAAATTCACTAATATTACTAATTGTTCCTGAAGTGAATTGATTTTGCTGAGCTGATTTGCTGTAAGGTTAAACATGCTCAATAAATGTATGTTCCAAGTCCACCTTACCTGTGCACCTTCTCCATGGTACAAGCAGTTCACCACATTGTCCAAGAGATTGATATCCAGTTTCTGGTTAAAATCCAGCAGCTGACGAGCTGCATGGTCTGCTAACATTGTCATAATTGCTGGCATAGATTACTGCAAAATAAATTTTTAAAAATTGATCAATTAGTAAGAAATTATTACCAGATGCAGCTGCAAAGCAAGTGCTTCAACTTAGCTCATTTGTCTCATTGAAACAAGATGCTTATGTTAGCAGTAGTAGATAACACTGCTTTGATTGGGGCACATACCACTACAAACTTTTCTTTTTTCCCCCCTGAAAAACTCACCCATCACTACCCCAGCTCAACTCTCAGGGTCTTCAACAGGTGAAACACACAATAAGAGTGTGAGCAGAGAACGGGCTGTGTTACCAGCACCCTGGGGCTTATTTCACAGCAGCAATCAACCCCTACTTGTCTGCTGGTCGAGAAGCCTCGTGTCACTACAACCAAAACCCAGACTGGCAATCTCAGCCAGTATCGAGTTCCCAAGGCCAACATGCACATTCAGAAGATTCAGTTCCAAAAGCTTTTAAACACTTGGGTAAGGAGGTGAAACGTGATCTACACACACAGCAAGAAATTAGCCACAGGGCATTTTTCAAATAGTTGGGGAAAGAAAAGAAAACCACCTTACAAGTTAACCACATCCAAGCAAAAAAAATTACCACTGAAACTAAGTTGATTGAAGGCACTTTGAGACAGTGCAGTAAAGGGACTGTTAAATGAGCAGGTTACTCTGTGTGCCATGTGAGATCACTCCAAACTGAAATGGAATTCTACTGGAGGTTTCAGGTCCCCTAAAGCCAGGGACACAGGCATTAACTCTTTGTCCTAGATAGAGCAGCCTTGATATTATGCAAAGGGAGTCAGGTGGGGTGTGTGAGATTCTTTACCAGCCAGAGACTGGTGCAAGATAAAGACATTTGTGAAAAGCAGGAAAACAAACCAGAAGCCATGGAATTTTTGATGGTAAGGTTACACTCTACCTTTTTCACACCACCCTGCCTCCCCCAGGTTGAAACACCTGATCAAGTTTATTGCCCTGCTCTCACAGAAAATGGCAACTCTTAACACATATTCCCACCCTGCCAACTACAGCACCTCTGTGCCACTCACCCTCCTTTCCACACCCTGTAAACCCACACAAAACTCACCCTCCTTTCCAAACCCTGTAAACCCACAGGTCTCACACAAAACTGCTCACTTCACAGACGGCCACAAGTCTGGGAAGTGCAAGATCAATCAAAAAGTTACAGCAGAGCCATCTGCATGCTCACAAAGATACAACCTGAAACTCTTCCAGGAACACACCCCATAAAGTCGGATGTGCTCTGACTAAATAACTCCATGTGTAAGGAAGAATTTGTTTTATGCTTTACGTATTCAAGTCATGCTCAAAAGTAAGGAGCAAGACAAACCTGTGCCTCAACCCTAGTAATTACTAATTAAGTGAAAGTTTTACTGCAGCATCCAGACAAGGAAAATCTTTTGTTTGGCAATGTGTATTTGCAAGTAGTGTCAAGGAATTTCTGTTACTTCTATATATAAAAATAGCTTCAAACCCAAATATTCCAACTGCATTTTCAACTAGAAAACTCAGTATTACTACACTAACACAACCATTTTAAGGGCTTCATCTCAACATCCAGTCAAATCTTTTTACAACATGTTCCTGCAAAACCAGGAGAAAATAAACATCAAGTAGGGAACAAAATAAATTAAAATCAACACTCCACGTCTATCCTTCCCTCCTTCAACTCCTAATGTTTTCAAAATTGTGATGTGAACTCGGGAAGCCAGAAGCACAGCAGCAGAAAAGGCCGACTTCATTCTTCATTTCATCCTTTTGGCTCGGGAGGACGCAGAAAATGTCACCTGGCAAACGAGGGGCAGCGAGCAGCACCACTAGAAGGGAACTGCACCCACGAAGAGGCTCAGAGCAGCTAATGCTCCCAGGCACGCCCCTTTTTGTCCACATCTGGCCTCCTCCACGGCCGAGCCGGGAAAGCGGTTCCAAACTACAATAAATGCCGTGCACCAGTCGCTCCTCGGGCAGGGCCATTCATTGCAGACCTGAGCCTCTTCCCGTGGTTTTCAGGCCACGCCGGGAGCGCCAAGGAGGAGCAGCGTGACCGAGAGAAGTTATTCAACACATGGAAGCAGAAAGGAAATGTTTTGAATAGGGCCCTTCGCCACTCCCAGCATTATCTTCGAAATGACCTAGCCACTTGGCCGGCCGAAACACAGAAATGGCGGCTTCGTGGCCACCACCACCTGCAAGCAACTCCATCTCCCACCCCTAACCCTGTACCCACACGAAGCTCATAATCTCTGATTTACTGTACTCCTACACTTTTCCCTCCCCCATCACGCCTCGACTCCGGAACGGATTTAAGCCTCGGCTCCAAGAACCACCATTGAGCAGTCCCTCAATTAATGGGCTAAGAGAAACAAAAGAGAAAAAGTTAAAAAAAAAAAAATAAAAACCAAACGAGAAAAAAAAAAAAAATCTGAACTACAACACAGCAAGAATGTGACATCTACCGAAGGTCAAAAGAACTGCATTTACAGCACTGTTTACACAGTTATCCCAACTCTCGATGACCCTGGACCTTTAACACAACAGTTAGCTTGTTGTGGTAGACCCGATTCATTTTGGCTCGTAGCACACACGAATAACAGCAGGCACTTAATAGTAAGAAACGGTGAGCATTTACCATGAATCCTACAGCACCTTTAACCCAGATATTTAAACCTCACTGGGGGCAGCGACTAAAAAAAAAAAGCAAACCCACCCTGGGAGAGCCACTGTGCCCCATTTCCAAGCATGCAATGCAAATGAAGTGCCTCCCTCCTCCAAGGAATTAGCTGCATCACTTGTAAATCCCACCCAGGAGGGGTGAGTGCCCATCACACTCCACACGCCAGCAATGGCAACGAAACCGCCCCTTCCCTTCGCTCCCTCACGCACACACGTGAAGGAGAAGGACGAGACGGATTAAGCGGCATCTGCCCGACACCTCGGAGCGTTCCTTTTCGGCTGGAAATAACTCACACCCACCCAGCGCGGCGGCCCTTCGCCGGCTCCTGCCGCAGCGCCCCGGCGGGCGGGCAGCGCCCCGGCTCTCGGGCAGCTCCTCCGGCTCGGGCTCGGGCCGGCAGGGCCCCGGTTCCCGGCGGGGAGCCCTCCTCCTCCTCCTCCTCCCCTGGGCTCCAGCCCTGCGCTCTATACAGGGCTCCCCACGTGATCCAGGCGGACGTTTCAATACTGCTGCACAGACACACACACACACACAAAAAAAATATTTCTGGAAACTTCCACTCCTAATAATTTACAGATTATGTCGGCGGGTTTGCCCGTGCCCGATCCCAGCCTGCCCGGCCCCCTCCTAACGAGGAGCATCCCCCGCAGCATCCGTGGCTGCGCTCGGCCAGGCCGGGGATGCTCGCACCCCGAACCCCATCCGAGCGCACCCCCGCCCCTCAGGGCTTCTCCACGGGCTCCATCACATCTCTCCTAGCACAGGCCAGGCTCTGGGGCCCCCTGCACGGGCACATCTCCCCGTTCTGCCCCTCCAAATACCCCCCTCTGCCCCCTCCGCCGTGCCCATCGCGACCCCCCCACAACCCCGGCTTACCTAGGGGTTTCTCACAGCCTCTTCCTTCAGAAAGTAGGGGCGAGCGAGCCAAGTTTCTAACCACCACACGCCACAAGAAAAAAAAAAAAAAAAAAAAAAAAGGAAAATAAAAAAAGACCACCAAAAATAAACCCCCCCAAAAAAAGGAGAAAAAAAAAAAAAACACGCAAGGAGGGGGAAAAAAAATCAGCACGGAAGGAGGGAAAAAAACCACCACGGCAGGAGGTGGGGGGAAAGGCGAGCGCTCCCTCCTCGGCGGTGGGTCGGGGTTAGTGGCGCCACTCCTCCCCTCGCAGCGTGCCCGGCCTGGCTGCACCAGGCGCCCGCAGCGGCCCCCGGGGCTCCGCGCTCGGCTCCGCGCCTTCCCCTCAGCCCCGGGAAAGCGGCCGGCGCGGCGCTCCGGCCTCGCTGGTGCGGGGGGATCTACCCGGCTGCGCCTCCCGCGCCGCCCAGGCCCGGCCCCGCCGGCTCTCGCTGCCCCTGCGGCTGCCGCCCTCCCCGCCCGGCGCTCAGTTCGCCCCCATTCCCGCCGCCCCCCCCGCGGCTCGCACTAAACTTCGCCCCCTCAGCTACGGGTCCCCTACGAGCAGGTCACACACGCGGCGGCGGCGACGGGGACTGAGCGCGGCGCGTCTCCCCCTCCTAATGCCACAGGCTCGGAACCGGCTCAAACCGGTTCAGACTGGGAGATTCCATCTCGGTTTAGTTTTCAGCCCATGGCGCCGCGGAGCGTTTGGAAACCTCGGGGGCCCCGCCCATCCGCCGCTCCCATTGGCCCCGGGATGTGCCGCCGCGAAGGCGGCCGCCGCGCTGATTGGTCGGGCGGGCTGTCAATCCGCTGCGCGCCTCGGATGGGCGGGGGGAGCGAGCGGCGGAGGGGGGGTTGAGCAGAGGGGACCCGCCCCCTCTCCAGCAGCGCTTTGCGCGCTAAGGGGGGGGCCACCGCTCCCCCATAGGCCGAGCCGCGCTGTCACTCAGAGAGGCCCCGCCTCCGCGTCTGCAAAGCGCGGGCGCAGGCCTGGCCGCGCTCTCATTGGCCGGCGGCGGTGGCGGCGTGACGCGCGCGCCTGAGCGCGGCTTTCGGGGCTGCGGCGGGAGGGGGCGGGAAAGGCGCGGCCGTTGGGCGCCCCCGGGCGCGTGCCTGAGGCGCCATGGCGGGAGCGGGGCGGGCGGCCCGTGAGGGGAAGGGGCGCGAGGGGCCGATCCCTGTGAGGTGAAGGGGCTCGGGGGCCTCTGCCCGCTGTGGTGAAGGGGTTTGGGGGCCCTCTGCCCGCTGTGGTGAAGGGGCTTGGGGGCCTCTGCCCGCTGAGGTGAAGGGACTCGGGGGTGCCGGCCCGTGAGGGGAGGAGGATGGTGAGGTTGGCCCGTGAGTGGAAGGGGTTCCAGCACCGTCCTGTTCGTGCTGAGGCGCTGCTTCCGAGGGAGATGGGGGCACCCTCTGTGTGGAAATGGCGGGCATTACCCCGCAGGTCCCTCTCTGGGAGGGAGTGGAGCAGACCTCAGCTGTAGAACGGGCCCTGTGAGCAGCAGCAGCAGCCCCAGCCCTCGGCGGGTGCTTGCCGTCCCTTACCTCAGCAGTCCTGTGCTCTCCAGCAGAGCCTGTGCAGACTGAGTGAGGTGTGTGTCCCCTCCTTTACGATGCCTCTGTCCGTGGGGTGTCCATCTTCCTGCAGCTGCCCTCCAAAGCGTGCTTCGGGCAAGGCTGGCTTTAGGTTTATCCACGTCTCGGGCTGTGTGAGGAACGGAAGGTAACCAGATGTGAGCAGGGGTGAGCTTGGGGCTTTCCTGTGGTGGCACAAGCTCAGCACGCTGTGGTTGCTCGTCTGGTCGCTGCCTGAAGGAGCAGAGAACGTGCTTGCCAACTTCCACGTGGAAAAGCTCCTACCACTGAATGTACCTACAGATGCATTTCTTCAGTCTTACCTCCTCATTTGAAAAAGGCATGGCTGTAGAAACTTATGACTCCTATGAGGAGGCTACTATTTGGAAGTATTTAAATACCCTTCTAGGAACAAACTTTCTTTTTCATCACTTCAATGCAAGCAGCTACTTTGTTTTTGGGATGGCATTGCACTGGTCAGTGAAACTTGTTGTAGGAGTGATACTTTTGATTTGTGGAATGCCCTCTGGGTGATTTCCAGAGGAAACCTTCTCTGTAGCTTTGTTGAGGTGGTGTTTACCTGTGCTATGGCTGGGAGTATGGCAGGGATGCTTAAGCACTTTTGCACAGTTTTAAAAGGAAAAATAGAGTTTTGAGGTGTGTAGACTGCTCGGGAGCAGTGGCTAAATTACCACTGGTGTGAAGTTTGTATCTAGCAGGCAGGTGCTGTGCTGTTCTAATAAGTCATAAGAAGGGCACTTAATTATGTTTTTAAAGCCTTTGTTGGCTTCCTAACTTTACAGATAGTGTGCTCAGCCATATAGCTGCTGGATGGGGTTCAAAACCTGTATTTTTTTTTTTCCACAGGATCTTTTTAATCCATACCTTCTGTGGAATGCAACAGTTTAAAGTTAGGCATCTGTAGTCATCCCCAAAAGATTGCCAGTGCAATGAAAACCATAACATGCTCGAATAAATAAATACAATTACACATACTTACACTGTTCTGATTGCCTGACCAACTCCAGAAGTGCTGTGGGGATTCCAGTTCCTCAATCTTCATTTTGTGGGGGTGTGTTATGTGATTTCTTTACTTTGTTTCTGGGACAGCTGGGGAAATCTTGTATTCATATACACAGTTGTGTTTTGGGCAGAATCCCAGAGGATGAAAGATGATGTGGTGCCAAATCAGACCCTGTGTGATGTAACACTGGCTTAATGTGATGTATTACTGCACTTCATTCCTCAGTTAAGCTTCTTGGGAAAACTTCTGCAGAATTTAAGGCTTGGAGAGCAGCAATGTGAATGGTCTCTTTTTTTATCATGCCTAAAAGGAACTGCATCCTGTTAACATCTGTGTCAGGGTGGTAACAGTGCTTTGTTTAATTCAGCTTGTTTGTGTTGCTCTGGGGGATTGGCCTCTGCAGAGTGACTGTAATTGAAGATAGCACTGGAGCTGCTGGGATTGAATTTGGAAGTGATTCCAGTAGAATGGACGGGCACAGCGAGCTGCTGGTGGGTTAAAAGCAGGGCTGTAACTCTAGCACTCAGAATAAACAGTTCCTATGTGTGTTTTGATGTTCTAGCTAGCTCTGGTGTTCAAAACAATCTGATGTAAGAGACCAAAAAGTCAGATTCTTTTAACTCCTTCTGCTTGTGCAGAAGGGTCACTTCTGTTTTTTTAGTGTGTATGTCTATGTAAGAGACAAATGTCTAAATCCTTAAATCAGATTCTTAAATGAATATTAACCACTTTGGGAGTAGATGCAGCTTCACAATTTCATCAGGTGCTGGTAGTGCCCAGATTGCAATGTGGTTTTAATAAATTCCAGGAGTAACAAACACAGCAGGGGTTGGCTCTGCTAAAGTTTGTTTGCTAAATCCTGTGCTTGAGTAGGGGAGGGTTCCTGCCTCATCACTGTCATGTCAAATAACACATTAATTTTTTTTTTTTAGAAATAGCCTTCCTATCTTCCTGCAAGAAGTTTTCCCTGGGAAAACTGAACTCTTCCCACCTCCCTTGTGCAAGGAGCCAGGTGAAGGCTGCTTCAGGAACTCGGGGCAGGCAGCAAAAAGTTTGATCAGGGTGGGTGTATCTGCTCACAGCTTTTCTCCCACACATGCCATCAGGAGCTGTTGTAAGCTTGTGCTTGCTGTTTTGTTGCCACTGTTTCCTGTTTGATGGCTCCTTTATTAGATGTTCAGTCTGGTATTCCAGCCTTGCTGGAATCAATAGAAAAATTTGCTTGGGTTTCAGGTCAGCAGTGTGGCCTGGTAGTGATAAAAGCTAACTGCACACTAGGCTGGATCAAAAGGAGCAGAACCAGGACATCAAGTGAAGTGATTCTTTCTCTGCTGGTCACTCAATAGCTGCATCTGGCACACCATGCCTGGGTTTTGCTCCATCACTACAAGAAAATGTGGAAAACCCTGTGCAAGTCCAACAGAGCCCATCTTAAAGGTGAACAAGGGGCTGAGGGAGCTGGGCTTCTTCAGCCTGGAAAAAAAAAATGGGTGAGGGAAGACCCAGTAGCACAAAGCAAAGCAGGGAGTGGGTACTATGTGAGCAGAATTAAGTAACTGAGCTTTTGTGGTCTATTTCTTCTTCACAGGGGCCCCACAATTGGTGGCAGTTAATGTATTTTGAATTGTCTGCTCCCTGTTCAGGGGTGATGGGATGGGCCACCAGGGTCTGAAAGTGTCACAGAATAAAGGCTATGTGGATAGGCCAACAGTGCTTATTAACTTTCACCCTGAAGTTAGAGAGCTCTTCCTTTTACCTTTTGTGCAGGTTTTTTTTTTACTCTAAAGTTTTTTTGTTTGTTTTTTGGACATTCTTCCTGTAAATTTGCTTTAGCAGATCATCTCCTTCAGCTGTGGTCGATTTTGTTTGTCAGAACTTAAAGGTGAACAAGGGGCTGAGGGAGCTGGGCTTCTTCAGCCTGGAAAAAAAAAATGGGTGAGGGAAGACCCAGTAGCACAAAGCAAAGCAGGGAGTGGGTACCATGTGAGCAGAATTAAGTAACTGAGCTTTTGTGGTCTATTTCTTCTTCACAGGGGCCCCACAATTGGTGGCAGTTAATGTATTTTGAATTGTCTGCTCCCTGTTCAGGGGTGATGGGATGGGCCACCAGGGTCTGAAAGTGTCACAGAATAAAGGCTATGTGGATAGGCCAACAGTGCTTATTAACTTTCACCCTGAAGTTAGAGAGCTCTTCCTTTTACCTTTTGTGCAGGTTTTTTTTTTACTCTCTAAAGTTTTTTTGTTTGTTTTTTGGACATTCTTCCTGTAAATTTGCTTTAGCAGATCATCTCCTTCAGCTGTTTGTCAGAAGCAGAATGGTTTTCTTGAGTGGTGTGTCAGCATTAGGCATTGTGCATCTGGGAAAGCTGAGGGAGGAGGCATAAAAATAAGAGAAAAATATCATGCTGGTATCAGAATTTCGTGACTGGTGAAGTAGGACTTGTAAGTGGAAAGAGCAGGGAAGAGAATAAAATAGAGCTGGGGAAATAAGGCAAAGAGAAGGCAGGTGTTGGGTGAGGCTGAAGTGAAAGGAATGAGGCATTCAGAGGAAATTGCCAGCTGTAAATTTTCAGGGATGTCTGGGCAACACACAACTGAAACAATCTGTTAATGTCGGGTGTCTTTGTCAGCAGCTCCAGCCTCCACCTCATCCTTCAGGAAAGGCCCTTTCCCCATCCATGCCTTTATGGGGGGCGTGTCCTGACTGCAGAGTTCTCACTTTACCGCGCTGTGTCCCTTGCCAGAGCTTTCTTCTCAAAGCAGGGGAAGATCCCTTGTAGTTTCCACTTTCTCCTGCAGCTGTCCCACTTTGTTCTGGGTAAATTGACGTGATAGGACCAGGAAATATGTTTGGCTAATGAAAGGAATGCAGAGAATTTGTTCTGTCCTTCCACTCTTGCCTCGTGTCATTCTAGAAATGGCAGAATTAATCCTGCCTGAGCATCCCTCTTCTCACTGAGCATCTGCTGCCATTCTTAATTGTTTTATTTTTATTTTGGGAGAGCTTCTAATGTACTTTCTTTATTCTTTACTTACTTTTGACTCCACATTTACCATGTCTTTGGCAAACAAATTTTGCATTTAATTTCCTTTATTCTTAGGTGGAAGACAGCAACTGTCTGTTTTGATGAATGTCCCAGGTCAGTGATTTCAGAGATGCTGGATGTAAGAAGAATATTAACAGCATTTGCAGATGATCATAAGTCAGGTGTTACAAACACAAGTAGGAAGAAATAATACAACATAACCTAAAAATCTTGGAAACAGGAAATTGAATGTAACTGAGTGGAGAGGAGAAATAAAAACTTATGTGTCCTTGGGGGGAAAAAATAGGAAGTTCAGTCCAAGGGAAAACTTGGAAAATAGAGCTGAGGGAGAAAGTGGAGAGCAAATTAAACATTCCCTTGCTTGGTGACAGGGCAAAGGAAAGGACAGCAAAATTAGGGA